ACATAAATAACAACTAAAACTCATGAAATTCACATTACAACTCGTAATATATTCATAAAGTCCAGCGAAAATAAAATAAAGCATACAAAATACAAAACACCTGATGTAGCCTTTTTCTTTTCTTGAACACATCAACACATAACATAGGCCTTAAGTCATGCTAAACTTCTCTTTCTTTGTTAAATTCCTACAGTTAGCAACTCAAAACATCTAGGTTGAAATTTAACAATCATACTCACTAATCTAGCATACTTATAACACAACTCTCAGCAATTATTTTCAGTACACAACCATTCCAAAACAGGGGCTCGAGAAAAATAACAGAACAAGGCTAGATCATGTTTTTAAAAAAAAAAAATTCAAAGAGTACAGACCTGTTTATCAGTTATTTAGAGCTGCAGCTTGGCAAAAATTCTAACAACTTTCAATTCTTTAAGCATGCTATATAAAATCTTAATCGTCTGATGCTACGAATTGAACTGAAACAATCAACCTCAACATTTCTCACATACTCAGCAATAGACATATGAATAAGAATAAGAGATTAACAATAACACAGCAAGCCTTATCATATGTGCATAGGAAAACGAACAAGGATTCGGTAGCCCTTATGATATATAAATCCATCATGTAATATATGAAAACGACCGCAATGACGAGAGGATTCAAAAGAGTTACCCGTCTTCGGGAAACTACGCGTAATCGGATGGGAAACGGGTCGGATAGTGGGAATTACGAACGGCTTTGAAACTCAACTGTAACGCCCCGTTTTATTTTAAAGAATTTACCGAATATAATTATAAAAATCAGAGTTAATTTTTCACAAAATCCCAATTTAAAAAGAAATTATATATTAACGGGCGCTACTTAACTACTAAAAATAAATAAACAATTAAGAAAAACATGTCGAACCTACACATGAGGACTAATAGTTATAAAAATTATCAAACCAGATTATTCATAAGTTTCGAAACCATCCAAAGGTTTAACATGATCCAATAGCAAACTAACATGATCAATATGACTAAGAGCGGAAGCATAATAATCCAGTGAAAAGCAAACAATCCAATATAGATAATAAAATAGCGGAAGCAATAGACACATCAATCCAATGACCACCACTCGATCGTCTCTCGCCGCCGCCGCCAACCAAGCTCAACCTAAAGATAGGAAGAGGAAACAAGAGGACAACAAACAAACAAATAATGGGGGTGAGCAAAACCATCATGCTCACCA